GTTGGGGTTTTTTTTTTTTTTTTTTTTTTTTTTTTTTTTTTTTTTTTTTTTTTAATTTTTATTTCACGAACTGTGTAAATCTTCAACTAAAAAGTTTTCTTTTTTTATTATAATCGAAAGTATAAGTGAAAATTCCTCAACTCGTCCCCCCCCCTCAAAAAAAAAGACAATGAAAATTGAATTGGGTCAACCGTACGATATAAAAGAAAAGAAGAAAAAAGTTTGGCAAACATCAAAAGTTTTTTTTTTTTTTTTTACAAAAAGCTTTGAAAAACGTTTTAAAAAAAAATTGGGGGCAAATTTTCATTTTTTTTTTTGCACGGTCGGTTGATTGTTTGTTGCCCTATTCTTTTGGCTTTATTTAAAAAAAAAAATGCCTTAAATAATAATAATGATATTATCCTTGTTGTTATAAGGATTGTAACATTTTGGAAATCTTTCTTTTTTTATCTTAAGATTCGTCGAGAGATTTTTTTTTTTTGTCTTTTGTACACGTATCGATTGACTCCGTCAAAAGTTGAATACGTTTTATTTTGTAAAAGTTTTGAAAATTAACAAATGATTAAAAAAGAAAGAAAATGCACTCCTCCCCGCCCCCCCCCGGGGAAAGAGGGAAAACTAGTAATAATAATAATGGCGATGAATAAGTTGAGATAATTAATTGTTTTTTTTTTTTTTTTGCAATTAATTATCCGAATTAAATTTAACAAAATATTTATGTATATTATAGTTAATAAATGCGGTGGTAAAAAGTATTATTAATGGTTATTATAATAATAATAATGATAATGATGATGATGATGATTCGGGCGTGAACGCGAAAAAAGAAAAAAATGGTTCCAGTTTTTGTTTATAATTTATTATTTATTTATTTATTTATTTAAAGGGTATTCAATTTCAATTAAGAGTTTTTTTTTTTTTTTCATTCAGTTAATGAGTCGATTCATCATTCAAAAAAAAAGAAAAGAGGGGAGACGAGAGGAGACGATGTCGGTCGATTGTTTTTTTTTTTTTTTTTTAATTTTATTTTGCTGACGGTTTACACGTTCGTTCGTTCGACGTTAAAATTTGTTTTTTGTTTACGAATCGTTTTCAATAATAATAATAATTTATTTTATTTTGTAATCCGAACGGGAAAACCCAATGGTTATGAGGGGGTAGGAGAGGGTGAAAGGAAATAAGGGAAAAAGGGGGTAAAAACAACAGACAGATCAAGAAATCAGAAAAGCAGGTAATGTTGGCGGTGGTGGTGTTGGGTGAAGGAAAAGACTAAAGAAAAAAATTTTTTTTTTTTTTTTCACTTTTTTTTGTTGCGGTTTTCTTGAGGCTTCGACTTTTCCTTTTTTCTTTTTTTTATGTTAACTAATCTGATTTTTTTTGTTTTTTTTTTCACCGTCGAAGCTTACAAAAAATATTGATTGCTGACTCACTCGGCTCGTAAAAATTTGCATAGAGTAAAATACCATTAAATGTAATAACAAAATTGTGCAAAATGAAATCGAGTTGGTTGGAAACGAAAAGGAAATTATTATTATTATTATTTTTTTTTTTCCCCTCCGATTTAATTCCAAAATTTAATTCTCCAGTTTTTTATTTTTTTCTCTTCCTTTTTCACCTTCACTCTTTTTTTTCTTTCTTCAACATCAACCGTATCTTCTTTCGTTACTTCTTTTCCCCTCTCCCTCTCTATCTTTTTTTCTTTTTCTGATTTCCCAAGAGCGTAAAGTTTTTTTTATATATTGTTATGATACGTTTCGTTCTTTATATTTTAAATGCGATATTAATTTACAGTTTTTGGTCTTGTGTTCGTGTTTAATGTTTAGCATTAGCACTTTCCACTTAATAACTGACCTATTACACTAAAACTAAAATTAAAGAAACGGACAAGAATTTAATAGAACAAACAAAGATGAAAAAAAAAAAAAAAAAAACGTTTGTTAAGATGAGCCATCCTAATTTGGGATTATTGTTAGGATTTTGTTAGGAACGACCAACAATCTAAATTTTAAAAAGACGAACGTTGTTGGTAAAAAAACAAAACAAAAGAAGTTTCTAGAACCTTTCCTTCTTCAGATTCACGGTATCCATGTTAACATTGTTATTGTTTATAAATATTGAAAAATGTAAACATTAAATATGAGAACATAACATTATATATATATATATATATATATTCAAAAATGTATTCGAAAATATTTTTATCGGTTTTACATAATTTAAAATTTTTTAGGTTTATTATTTACCCTTCTTCGGTAAGTTAAAATGCCCGCGAAAGAAGAAGAAGAGAAAAACAACCCTAAATGAAATTATTATCATTATTATTGTTTCAGGTGTTGCTGAAATACAATACAAGTGAAAAGAGGACTTGCGAAGACGATGCCTTAATGTTTAAAATAAAGACTTTGCTTAGATGGTTTCTGTTAACCGCTTTGCTATTTTTTCCATTTATGCTTTACGTTCCATTTTATTTCGATGATGGAGACTCGAAAAAACCAGGAAACGGTAAAAAAATAAAAAGTAATCGTATTAATATTTTTTCGTGTTCAAAAGTTGGTACTTGTTAACAATACAGACAATGAAAACGATTTAATTTTTTTTTAGTTTTCTCGTATTTGTCAAGGTTTTTGTTTTTTGTTTTTTGTTTTGTTTTTGTTTTTCAATGTAATCGTCACGTTTTTATCACGTGCATGAAAATTAAAAAATTTTTTTTTACTTGTCATAAAAAATATCTTATATTTACCGGATTTTATTATTATTATTATTTTTTCAGCGGCGATTGAAGGTTGGGGTGTGGATACAAGTCGTTCCGTTTCTCATTATGTTACCCCCGATAACGACACATCTCTCATAGTCAGCAATGAATTATGTTCGGAACCTTTGCTATTACTCGTTATCATTTGCTCAGCTGTTAACAACACATTAGAAAGGATGACAATAAGAAAAACTTGGGGAAATTGTTCTAATCCTTCGTATAGTTTAGTCTTTCTCCTAGGTACGACGGAAAATTCAACTTTACAGGTAAGATTTAAAAAAACATTTTTTCTCGTGTCGTGAGTTAAAAAAAAAAAAGTTAAGGTTTGGCACGAACGGGTGGAGGAAGGGGCAAAAACAACCGATAAATCGATTTTGATTTTTTTAAAGGCAATAAATCTCGACGGTTTTTTTTAAAAAAAAATTTCGATAAAATATTTAAAATTTTCCACATTTTCCGATTTGGAAAACCATAAAAAAAAAAAAAAAACGGATTCGGAAATTGTTGTTGTTGTTTTTGGTTCGCCACATTTTTTTTGTTTGTTTGTTTGTATGATTTTTGTAATTTTCCCTCATTTTTTTTCCTTTTTTTTGTTGTATTTGATTTTTATGTAGCGAAACGAAGAAAAAAAAAGAGAGGAGGATAAATCAAATGGGTTTTGGGTAAGGGTTAACGGAAACGTATCGATGGTGGTAGGGGTGGTGGTGGTGGTGGTGGTAAATTTAAATTATATCGCATTGTTACGAAGAGAAGTCGTATGCAAAAAAAAAAAAAAAAAAAAAAAAAGTTTTCAACTTTTTTATCTTTAATGTAAAAAGATTTATTATGTTTTTCTCTCCCCCCCCTCTCTCTCTCTCTCTCTTTCTCTCTTTTTCTCTCTTTTTCTCTCTCTTTCTCTCTTTTTCTCTCTCTCTCTTTCTAAAATTTGAAAACTGGGTCGTAGTTTTTTTTTTGTTGAACTGTCTCGTAAATAAATCAGAGAAAAAATGCAGAGGGAAAAAAAATTTAATGGAAGGAAAATGAGAAAGAAAATTTAATTTTTTTCGACTCTGTTCCGTTACAGGAAAACGTGGAAGAAGAATCTAATTTGCACAATGACATCATACAAGAAAATTTCCTCGATTCGTACAATAATTTAACATTGAAATCCGTCATGATGTTGAAATTTGTTAAAAATCGTTGCAAAAACGTCCGATATATATTCAAATGCGACGACGACATGTTTGTTTATTTGCCCAATTTACTCGCTTTGATAAAAGTCTTGGATGAGAAAAACGTTAAAAATGTTCTCATTGGAAAATTAATATGCGGAGCGAAACCGATTTTAGAAGTGAGGAGCAAATGGTGAGAATATCATTATTATCATTATTATTATTATTATTATTTTTAATGAAATGATTACCCTCTCGTTCTTCAACTCGTACATTCTTTAAAGAAAGACAGACATTTTTTTTTTTCTTTGAATGTGAGACGCATTATTTATCAATTTAAAGGTGTTGAAATGTTTTTCCCCCTCCTTCTCTCTCTCTCTATCATTATTCTCTTTATCAATCGTATTTTCAGGTATGCTCCGAGGTATTTGTTTTCGGAAAAAGTTTATCCAAATTATTTGTCAGGTACGGGTTATTTAATGGATCGTCACACGGCTCTCGATTTATACGAGGCAGCTTTGGAAATCCCATATTTACACTTGGAAGATGTTTTCATAACCGGTAAATTAAAATGATTAATATTTTTACCCGGTTTCGATGTATCGATCGATCGATACATCGATTATCGAATGATTATTATTTTTAATTTTTTTTTTTTTAATGGATTTAGGCTTGTGCGCGAGAAAAGCGAAAATAAAACCCCGTCATCATTCGGGTTTCACATACTTAACGAGACCCTTGGATCCTTGTTTGTACATAAAGAATGAAAACGTCATAACTAGTCACAGAGTAACAACGTCGAACATGACGCAACTTTGGACGGCATTGAACAACGGCACAAAATGTTTCAACGGTCAAAATACTCATCCGCTACCAATTAAATTAGAATTTTTAAAACCTTCTTCTTCTGTCGGTAAGAAAAATAGATGCTCATAAATTGAGACAAAGAGAGAATGAGAGAAAGAGAAAGAAAGATAGAGAGTCGAAATGTGATGAAGAAAATGTGATGGAAGGGGGAAAAAAAAATCTCACGTCTCGATTTATACCTATTATTATTATTATTATTAGTTTTGATAAATTTGAAGTATGTCATTTTTTCGTTTCCGGTTTTTTTATTTTTTTTTGAATTTTTTTGTTGGCGGAAATGATCGAGAGTTTTACATGAAAAGCATTTAAATTTTTATTTTTATTTTTATTTTTTTATTTTTTTTTTTTAGGTTTTTTAGGTTTTTTAGGTTTTTTAGGTTTTTGCCTTGTGATCTGAGATGATCTGTGCTTCGCGTAGGGCGTTTTTTTGTTTGCCTTTCCTCTTCGTAAAAAAAAATCGATTTCTAACCGGAAGTACAAATTTTCGTTCGATTCGTTTCAGTTCGCGAAAAGATTTTTTGCAACTTTTACCAGTTTCAACGGGAGTTTTCCTTTTGATGCTCTCAATCCTAAATTTCGGCGCTTAACTACTACTATTATTATTATTATTATTATTATTATTATTATTAATATTTATATTCGTTTTTAGTCTACAGCAATACAATTAATAACAATCGGTGTTGATGATCATAATTTCCGGTTTAAAAGGCAAACGTGAAGAAATTTACCGGAAACTCACAAAAAAAAAAAAAGTCGTAGGTAGTAGAGGAAATGAAATTATTTTCGAATAATCGAAACGATTGGAGGAGGAGGAGGTGGGGGGGGGAATTTGAAACGAATGCTGAATCGTTTGAATTTGAAAAAATCGATCGATCGATTGATCGATTTTTTTTTTTTTCGTGACGTTACCATGACGTATTGTTGGTTTTGTTTTTGTACAGTTTATGCTGTAAGAATTAACATCAAACCATTGAATCGATTAAATTGAGTGGAAAAAATTTAAATTTATGTTTATAAAACGGTTATCGTGAGTTTGAATGAATGAATGAATGATTGAATGATTGTCGAAAGTGTCGATGGTGATGATGGTGATGATGATGATGATGATGATGGGTTTTATTACCATGTTCTCCGTTTTCCTCTTTCAATTTCCCACCGACGTTTCCTTATTTTCTCAAAAAAAACGCTCCAAAAAGGCTCTGCGCGAAGCCATTTTTTTTTTTTTTATAATAATAATAATTGATTTGTGAAAGGTTGAATACTTAATGAGTGTGATTAGGTGTTTATAGATTAGTAATTAATTGAAATTTTAAAAAATAAATAAATATTTTTTTATAAAAAATTTTATGCTCATACGAAAAAAAAAGAAAAAAAAAAAAAATTTTAGTCAAAATTTATTTTACGATAAAAGTGGGAGGGGAGAGTTGGGAAGAAAGAGAAAGAAAGGAAAATTCTACGGCAGCAAAAGAAAAAAAAAGTATTTATTATTATTATTATTGATTATTTTCCGATCGGAAAAAATAGGAAATTTAATTGAAAAATTTTTCTTTCTTTCTTTTTTTATTTTTTTGTTTTTATGGTGTGATATTATTAGCGTAAGTTTTTTTTTTATGTTTTTACTTTCTCTCTTTCTCTCTCTCTCTCTCCCTTTCTCCCCCTCTTTCTCTCTCACTTTAATAATAAAATTGTGTGTGATAAATGATAACGACTGATTATACATGCACGACGCGATTATATAAATTAAACGAACCGTGTAGTTGATTGAAATTATGAGAAGGAAAATCGTAGAGATAAAAAGTGATAGTAGGAGTAGGAGTAGTAGTAGTAGTAGTGGGGGGTAGTAGTAGTGATAAGGAATAGTGATAAAATTACCGGGATAGAATCGGGGGTTCGGTTAAAAAAGGAAAAGAGAAAAAAAACGATCGTCAAATTTTTTTTTCATTTGGAAAATTCTCACGTTTTCAAAAAAATTTTCATTTTTTTTTTATTATCATCAAAATGTAATTTCCGTTCGAAAAGGCTGTGAAATAAATGTACGTGGGGGGAGCAGTGGGGGAGGGGAAGGGAGAAAAAAATCGGAATCGTATTAACCATACATTTGTTTTAATTATCCTCAGGTGTAAATTATTATTATTATTTTAATTTTAGGTGCCATCAAACATGGAGAAAAAAAAAGAAAACCTTTTCCCTCCTCTCCCCCCATCTCTCCCTCTTTTTCTCCGTGATAATAATAAAATTTTAAAAAGCAAGGAGGGGGTGGGGGAAAATCGCGTCGAGCATTTTATATTCAGTGGTTGTTATTAATAATAATAATAATAAATTTTTATTTTTTTTATTATTTTTTTTATTTTTCGATTTCTTACACGCTTGAAAATTTATATAATTAACATAATAAAAAAAAAAAAAATGGTGATAATATAAAAAAAATAAAATGATAAATGAATTGATTAAAAAAAAAAAAATTTATGTTTACTTTTATTTATTTTTTCCACCTATCCTCAATAAATAAATAAATAAATTAATTAATAAAATTTGTTGTTGTTGTTGTTTTTGCTATATATTGTTGTTATTATTGTTGTTTGTTAATTAGATATTATAGTTAATAATAATAATAATTATATTTATTACGATGCCGATATATAGAAAAATATAGAAAATAGAATTTAAAAAAAAATAAATAAATAAATAAATTTATATGCCTTTTTAAACGGTTGTTATCATTATTATATTATGTGTCACGATGGAAAAAAAAAATCATTAAATAATTTATGAAAATTTTTAAAATTTGTAGAATTTTAAAACATTATTATTATAGCGCTATATTTAATAAAAAGAAAAACAAAATTGTAATTCTTTTTTTTTTATTCGTCCTTTTTATTAAATGTAATTATAATAATAATAATAATAATAATAAATAAATATTAAGTATTGTAAATTCATAATTTTTGAAATTGGCGCGTAAATTGATGTTTTGAAAATTTTACCATTGAATATTCATAGACGTATATTCAATGGTAATAAAATTTAAAAAAATCTCATTGGTTGATTTGAATTTTATTAATTAAAGATGGCGGGTGAAACAGTTGACAGCGAAATATGGATTGTGAAGTTATTTATAAGAATTTTGTCAATTGATTATTGTTTATATTTTTTTTCTAAGTAAGATATTTAGTTTTTTTTCTTTTTTATTTTATTTTATTTATATTTTATTTAATTAAATTAATTAATTTAACTTATCCAATTATAATAATAATAATAATAATTGTATAATTCTCAACGTTTTTCTGGCTATTACAAATGCATGAACCAAAAAAAAAAACAATGATTATCTGTATTATTTTCTATGTATACATAACTTTATTAATTATTTTATATAATTAATAACTTGTTTACCATAATTATTATTATTACTATTTGTGTTAAATTATTTAAAACAAACAAAAATAAATAATTTTTGGTTATTGTTAAGGTAAACAAATGAAATAATAATAATAGTATCATAATTTATTAATTTTTTTTAACTGAAATCTTTTTTCTCATTTAATACATTTGATGATAATAATACTATTGATAAGAAATAGATATATTAATGTAGTAAACCTGCTTCTTGTTTTCTAATAATAATAATAATAATATCATGTCAGTTTTATTCAAAAAAAAAAGCAATCTCATTAAAAACACAAATTATTATTATTATAATATTTACATTATAAAAAATAAGTTTGAATTGATAAAATGATATTTATTATCTTTTTGTTTTTTTTTTTAAATATTAATAATCAATAATTATTGATTTTATTAATTAATTGTAAAAATAATTATTGTTTAAAAAATTTATTGATTTTTTTCTTTTAAAGGTCAAAATATAATAATTGTCCGTTTAAAAAAAAAAAAAAGGAAATTATTCGTGGATTTCGATAATTCAAAATTGAGTTTTCAAACGTCAAAAAAAAAACAAAAAAGTTTTCTTTATTTCTTTCTTTAATTTGTATTAATTAATGGAAACGAGAATAACGAATAAATTGCAATTAATGGAAGCCATAACTTTAGGTAAATATATGTTTATTATTTAATTGTATAAATAATAATAATAGTGGATGTGCTAATATTTTTTTTATTGTCACGTTTTCAGGTTTGGAAGGGTTATGAGCATTTTTTCCTGGATATGTCTGGTAAGGAAGGAACCCGAGATAGCGAAAAGGGGGGAAAATCCATAACGGAAAAAAGATCTATGCCTAATTTGGAAAGAGTAGACCGGCAAAAAGCCGTGAATCAGGTTCCAAAAAGAAAATCCAGGCACCTTCATAAATATCCAACGCCAAGTTTTAGCACAGTTTCAAGGGGACTCGACACGGATCCTCCTGCATTTCCTTCATTAGATTTAATACCGTTTGATAATCAGGGAATACCTAGAGGACAAGGAGACGTGTCTTCGGGAGTTATAGAACCTCCGGATATGGTACCATCAACTCAACCCGAATTTAAAATGGTACGAGAAGATTTTCCGGCTTTGCCAGGGACTCAAAACGATAGTTTGGAATACGGTTATCAATTGGCCGGAGGTGAATCGACGACGACTCAACCGAGAGACCAACCGCGGTCTGTAGGTATAAGGACACATCCGGACGGTAGAGTTACCAATATTCCTAGATCTATGATTCAAGATCAATATGGGATTGCAGGTTTACTGTCTTTTTTAAGAGCTGCCGAACACGATAAAACGTTAGAAGTACAAGGATTGGGAGAAGATTTAACAAAATACGGTTTCGATTTGAATTCAAAAGAATTCCTTTATCCGAATTTTAGCGGTCCTTTTGGTGATTATCCAGCTCAACCGCAAGACATTGATTACGACGTACCTAAAGAATATTTACATCATAGGAAAACAAAAAAAAAACTTCCAGCAATTGATTTTTCTCGTTACAACGACGATACACTTTTTTATCTTTTCTATACGTTTATAGGTGATTATAAGCAACTTATGGCCGCGGCTTATCTTTACGATAAGGAATGGAGATTTCACACGGAAGAAAATTATTGGATGAGTTTAATGGTCGATCAAAAAAATTGCTATTGTTTTTTCGATCCAACAAAATGGTGCAAAGTCCGAGTTATAGATTACGAAATTGATATACATAAATTAGCGGCGAGACCACACGTACCAAACGTCAGTCCTCCTAAACAAGATTTATCTCCTCCTTCAACGGTTCAATCGGCGGTCCAATTATCTAATGCTCCGATGACTCAACAAATACAAACGGTTCACGGGGTTCAACAAATGCCGGTAATACCTGTTAGTATAAATCCATATACACCAAGACCGGCGTATCGGATAATTACTTCTTATACACCTGTAAACGTTAATCATTTTAATCCAAGGCATAATATACCTACAGTTTTTACACCGTGTCCAACGATAATTGGTACGGTTACGCCCAGAAATTCAATACCGGTCGTCCCATCTCGTGCTATTCCAGTTGGACCTCCTTGCACGAGGTATAATTTATCATCGGCATATGCCCCGCCCAGGAACATAACGACCATATATGCTCCAGCACCTATGTATTCTTCTTGTTCCGACAGTAACGGAGAACGTTTGAGAAGAAAAAAAAGACATTGACAACAGTGTAGACAACTTATTTAAATTGATTTTTATGTCGTGTTTTATTATTATTATTATTATTATTATTATTAATTTCAATTCGTCCGTGCCTTTTTTTTTTATTATTATTATAAAAAAGTGTAAAGTGTCCAACAAAAATTTAAATTTAATTTTTTTTTTTTTGTTTATTTATCACTCGTCGAGTATCTTTTTAATTTTGTTATCGATAAAATATTATCAAATATTGTTATTATAAGTTAACGATTTTAAAATTTTGTTTTAAATAATAATAATAATATTAAAGTAACAATAATAATAATAATAAAAGAAAAAAGAAAAATTCTTTTTGTAAATTATTATTTTAATTTTCAATTGATTGGTTTTTTATTTTAAATGAAAAAAAAAAAAAAAATGATTATTATAGTTTGAAAAATAATTTATTTAACTCAAGTAGTTTTATTCGTTATTAATTATAATTTTCCGTTTCCTTTGTTTAATATAATGACAATAATAAATTATTTATAAAGAAAAAAAATCTCATTTGTTTCCTTTCATTATTATTATTATTATTATTATTAATTACATAAAACAAAATTTCATTTGCTCATATTTTCCATTTAAATACCATTATGTAAGCATCGTCGGATTTTCAACTTCGCCTGAAATTTAACCGTTATGCAATTATAAATACGCTCATGCACGGCCGTAAGTACGTCAAAAAAATTCTTTTAACGAACGTGTTTGATAACTCGTGATAACAATAAAATCGATTTTACTTATCATAGCAGCTGTTATCAGTAAAAAAACAAAATGCCTGTGAAAAGCTGAAAAATAATTCAAAGGAAAATGGAATAAAAAAAACATTTTATTGTAAATAAAATAATATATATATATATATTTCACACAATTTATTATTTATCGTAATTAAACGAACACACCTTTTGCCGATACAAAAAAAAAAAAAAAACACAAAATGGCACTGATAATGATGATATTGATAACATTTAAAAAATTTATTTAACAAGCATAACTAACGGATTATTATAATTATTATTGTTAAAAAAAAAAAAAAACACCAAAAAAAACTCATAATTTTTTTTTTTTTATACAAATATATATATATATATATATATATATTTTTTATTTTAAAAAAATTATTGTTAGCAAATTTTTTTTTTTTTTAATAAAAAAACTCTCACAGACGTAATTAATTAATTAATTAATAAGAGTTACATTATAAAAAAAAAAAAAGGTAATACAATTTATTTTTATCTCTCTTTCCCCGTTAATAATTTTTAAAAAAAAAAAAAAAAAAGGTCAAAGACTAGCTCGTACACTGCATTTAAACTAAACAAACATCGCACAATTTAATTATAAATAATAATAATAATAATAATAATAATAATAATAATAATAATTAATAATTAATGTACATAATTTTTTTAAAAAAAAAATAATATTTATAAATATTTTATTTTACTTTTTTTTTTTCTTTTGCATGAATGTAAATGTTTGTAATATAATTAAATATAATACAAACAAACAAACAAACACGAAAAAAAAATAAAAAAAATTTTTTCTTTTTTTTTTTTTCTTTTTATTTCTCACGAATATAATAAACAAACACTTACACAAAAAAAAATTCTTCGAAAAAAACAAACAAACAAACAAAAGTTTTTTTTTTTTACAATAAAACATTTACAACACGCGCACACGCACACGCACACGCACACAAGAAAATAAATATAAAAAAAATTTTATTTTTAATTTTTTTTTATTATTATACACAATTCTTTTGAATTTTTATTTTTTTTTAGTTATAATAATTAGTTATGATAGTATTAATAATAATAATAATAATAATAATATTAAAGTTATCGTGTGACTTATACGTGTGATAATAATAATAATAAACAAACGAGAAAAAAAAAAGAAAAAGAAAAATTAAAAACGACAGCTACGAAATTTTTTATTTATTTATTATTTATATAATTATTATTATTATTATTATTATAAAACAATATTTACAAGGTTTTTTTTTTGGAAAAATTTATTTTTTGGTTTATTTATTAATAAATATTATTAATTTTTTTATCACTTAAATAATAATAATAATATTATTTATTTATCGAATTAAAAGGTTACATGAAAAAAAAAAAAATTTTTATTTACACTCATTCATTCATTCACTCGCTCGCTCATTCAACACATTTTATCCAATCCTAGTGTCATGTTTTTTTTTCCCCCCATAAAAAAATAAAAAAACAAACAAACAAACGGAAAACTTTATGATCGTTTCCCCTCCCCCTCCCCACCGCTCCCTTCTCCCCCCCCAAAAAAAAACGAATCCTATTTAATTAATACTACAAGTATTAACAGTATTAACCGGGTTTGGCCATCCTTTTTTTTCTTTCGTTTCTTACACCACGTCGCAATCGTCATTTAACTACAACTACTACTACTACTACCACTACCACTACTTCTAATAATAATAATAATAATAATTAAAAAGTGACTTTGGTCGTGTAATTTTTTTCATAAATCGTTTCATACGTTAAAAAAAAAAAAAATTTTTTCCTTTTTCTCTCTCTTTCTCTCTCTCTCTCTCCCTTCTATCGATGACTAAAAAAATTTATTATCATTATTATTAATTATTTATTAAAATAATTTTTTATTATTTTTCAAATAAATAAATAAAAATTAATTCACAAAAAAAAAAAAGTAATAATAATATTAAAAAACAACGAATAATGTCCAGCATTTATGTTGCCCTTGTTTTTTACATTACCATTTAAAAAAAAATAAAAGTTAATAAGTTATTTATTAATAACTTATTAAAATCATCAATAGAATTAAAAAGAGAAAGAAAATCAATTAATAACTAAAATTAAGTTTTCTTGCCGATTATTAAAAAAATTTTTTTTTTTTAATGATAAATGCATCATGAGCTGTTGTGGTTGTTGTTTGTATCGTCGTTATTATTATTACCATTATTAAATCCCATTGATTCATTTATTTATTTTTTTTCATATAATCGGTTTCTAATGACACGATCGTGTCGTATCGAAAAATTTTCTTTTCTTTTTCTTCTTTTTCTCTTCGGAATGAATGAGAATTAAATTAAAAAGGTGATGAGATTGTTTTTCTTCTCTTCTCTTCGTTACGTTAAAATATTATAGGTTTGTACTTCAGGAACCGGAAATGATCCAAATATAGAAAAAAATCGAAACGTGTTCGTCTTTAAGTTTTTTTTTTAAACTTCGGTGGTTCTTGTAAAACATTCTTCTTGTCCGGCTCGACTCGATTTCCGTTCCCTTTTTGCAAATATTCCACCCAGAAATGATTGTTGATGATTCATCATTTTTGTATTTTTAAATCCTCCGGGACCTACTCCTCCTCCTCCTAAAACTTGTAAGTTTTGCGGCGATGAATCCCTGCTCACGGTGCTTGCGGAAGTTGATTGAAACGATATGGACATTCCGGAATCGAGAGATCCGACGCTTCCTCTTCTCTGCTGGGGTTTTTCCGTCACGACTACAAAAAAAAAAAAAAAAAAAAAACCGAGTTAAAAAAGGAAGAGAGTCGATAGAAAAATACGTCACTTCCGTTTTAATTAAACTTACATTGTTCGTGTATGTCGAGAAGAGAATTGCTTAAAGCTGATCTTTTCAACTGACTTTCAATGAGAGGTCTTTTGTTGTCATCTTGAGCTTGCGAGGAATAAGGACAAACTTCGACGTCTGCTACTCCGCTGTCTCTGTTTTCCGGTGGTGCTCCCCCTCGTCCTCGTCCCGATTTCTGCCTTTCCAATTCTTGTTCTATTCTAAGATTTTCCATTTCGTCCATTTCGCTTATGGATTCTCTCAGATCTTCTGCGAATTTACACCTGTCGTGTTCGTTTCTCGCGTTGAACGTTATCAACACTTTACCGCCGACTCTTTGTGATAACCTGATGCCGTATTGGTAATCTGAAATCGTCGTGGATGACGGATTAGATTTTGTAGGAAAAAAATCCAATTTCTGAAACTTTGGGTATTTTGTGGGGGGGGGGGTATACTCACAAGGTACTTCGAACGTCGACACGACCATTCCGCAAAGTGGAAAACTTTCTCTGAACGTGTACGTAACTGAATTTTTCTTTTTACTAAATATTTTTGTGACGACTAGCAAGTCATTGAAAAGGAAAACTTCTCTCTGATGTACTCCCGGCCTTTCTTTTTTATACATGTCCGGTAATTCGTACAAACGACAATAACAAACTAATCTACGATGTGGCAAAGCCAAATTCTGAAACGGAAAAAAAAAAAATTTTTTTTAACTCTCTCTCAAAGCGAAAATCATCGACATTATAAAAGAAGAAAGAAAGAAAGAAAAAAAACTCACGGGTTTCTTTCCGACTATGTTCGATTGAACTTTCATTACTTGAGTCACGTGATCGTTACCCGGTTTAAATTCGTTGCCTTTGACTCTTTCGTATATTCCGGACAACATGTCCCGATCAATGTCGCCGCAATCGTCGATGCCCCTAAGATTTTTTATGAAATCCTCCAATTTCATTCTTCTTTCGGGTTTTAAATTGGGCGTGTGTAAATCCGTGTTGAGCATGATGATGGCAAACGCGAGTACGAAAACCGTATCCGGACTCCTCAATCGCGACACGACTTCCCGATTGCAACTGCAATACCTTTGACTGAAAACTTCCATTAATCTTTCTATTTTTTGAGCTTCACCCGGCATTCTAAAATACGTTTGAAATTTCCTGAGCGCAACATCTATTTGCATTCCCGCTAAATCTAATTCCGCTGAAAAACACCTGAAAAACAAACAAACAAACAAACCAAACATTAAACAATGATCTGACGACGACGACGACAACGACAACGACAACAACCAAAAAAAAGTTTCTTTTTCGGGGATGTTCTTTTTTTTTTTTTTATACTGTCGTGAAAATATAAACCGACAGAAAGTTGTGAAACAACCGAGTCTAGAATTTTCTATCGTCATCCGATAATTTTTCGACAAAAAACATTCACCACGATCGCCATTTTAATAAAAGTGGACACACACACACACGCGGAAACCTACTCGATGGTGCATAACGGCAAAACCCATTATTAATCAAAGGAAAGAAACGAATTCAAACAAACAAACAAACGAACAAACGGATAATAAAAAAAACAATCATTGTAATAATAATAATAATAATAATGAAACGATTACGTAAGATTTAAATTTCCTCCTTTCTATACTGTGACAAAAAAAAAATTGTTTCACATTTTAAAAAAAACCGTTACTTAGAAAGTTTTCAAAAAAAAAAAACAATATTTATGATTAAATACAATTTTCAATTAAATTTATAACCGTTGATAATTATAATGATGATGATAATAATAATAATAATAACTACGAAAACACATTCCCACAAAATTATAATTAAAAATTTAATTGTTCGTATTTAAATTCATAATAATAATAATAATAATAAAAACGAATTGAAATCGGTGAAAGTTAACTTTTGTCCATTCTCTCTTTCTCTCCCCCCCTCTCTCCCCCCCTCTCTCTCTCTCTCTCTTTTTTTTTTCTCTTTAATTTCGTTTATCTTCCTCCTCCACTTCTGGCCTCTTCTTCTTCTCTCCTTCCCCGACTTTCTATCTATTAAAGGATTTCTTCTTAATAATGCTATCGATAATATTTGACATAATCATTTTATTTATTTACGACACTCATTGCGCAATTGGGACTTTTTTTTTTTTTGAAGGAAGAGACGTGGCAGGAGAAAAACGTAACGAGATACGTTTACTTGCGGTCGATTTTTTAAATCGTTTCAACTATTTACACGTGATGTATATAAAATTTAAAAAAAAAAAAAAAATTTCCGATTGAATGCGTTTGTTTGAAAATTTTGAGGGCGTCCGAGATGTGACCCTCTTTCCTTAACCCGATACCTTTCCCATACTTTTTTTTCCCTGTTTCTTTGGCCGAGGGGAGGGGGAGGGGGGGCAAGGGGGGGGGACGGTCCCAAAACTTTTTCTTTTATTACTTACTGTAAAACTTCCATGTTGAATTCACTTTGTAAATTTCCTAAATATTCTCCTATCATTTGCCTCGATAGTCCTTTTCTCGTTATGAGAAAACTGGCTACGGCTTGAGGCGTGTTGCTTAAAAATCCTCTTTTTATCAGGTACGCTATTCCCCTTTCGGGTTTTTTGTTAAATAAATTTAAACCCACGCGATACTGACGTTTTCTTATTGCTTCCGATACCTTAAATAAAAAATAATAATAATAATAATGAAATTTCATAAACGGAAGTTCTTACGTCACTTTTTTTTTTTTTCGCAATACTTTACGAAAACTTACTTTGTACAAAGTATGTTGGCTATCGGTTACGGAATGATCGTGAACCTGCTGATAAGAATTCGTATGCGTGTTACTAAGTTCTTTTCGGCTAATGTCTGCGGATGTGTCGCTCATGTTATGCTCCGGAGAAGTTGGCTAAAAAGGAAAGAGAGAGAGAGAGAGAGAGAAAAAAAATTATTATTAATCGATCAAATTTCGAAACCTAAAAAAAAAAAATGCCTCCTCCTCCTACCTGAGCTTTCCTCTTCCAAACCGGAGATGTACGATTTCTAGATTCCATATCAACGCTTCCTTCGGCCATAACCCTATCAGTCGATAAACTACTATCACTTCCCGAACTTTGAACGGACGACAAGCTTCCGTTTTCGAAAGCTTTACCAAGTCCGTTCGTTCTCGTCAGAGAATCCGGAGTCGAACGACAGGAAATCGAAGACGTTCTCTTGGGTACTTCCGGAGGTATTTTTTTATTGGCGCTATTAGGACGCGAGGGGTAACTACTCGGTGAGGGACTTCCTTGGCGATTCCAAGAATTTCCATTTTGGTGTGGAGGAGTGTTTCTTTGTACAACTGTAGTGCTTTTTCTACCAAAAGCGTCTCGTTGAAGGCTTTGCGACTGAATACGAAAAAACATCAATAACAATAACGGTGCTAATACTAATAATAATAATAATAATAATAATAATATTCGCGACTTACAGAATGAGTGCATTGCGGATAATGAGACACTGGATGATTAGCTTCCGTGAAAGCTTCTTGCGGAGTGTAATAATGGGTGTTATCACGATATGAGCCACTTAGAGGCGGCGTATGGAGAATGCAAGGTTGCAAACCGGTCGGAGTGTAGTAATCGATTGATTGATGACCGAGATCGCAGCATCCCGATTGAGATCTCGGCAATGAAGTCGAATCCAAATGTCGCTTTTCTCTCATCGACGAGGATCTCAATGGCGCGGGTCTCGCTTGCAAAAATTTCGAACCGCCTTGTAATTCTTTTTCGAAATTGGCAACTTCGCTATCGAAATTTTCCTGACGAAATCGAAAACAAAAAATTTTTTTTTTAATAATTCACGTCACGTCACGTGGCATTAGAATATCTTTTCAACTTAAAATCTCAATCAAAAAATATATGTATATTCACACCTGTAATCGTCTGCTTAGTCTTCTTTCGGCTTTCGCCATCGCCGTTATTGAATCGAATTTTTTAGTGAGAGCATATCTTCTGAAAGCTCTCTGTATCGTTAGCGCCGCATTTCTAGCTTTTTCACCGCCATATTTCTTTTCTAAAACTTCGATTTGCTTGTCCAAAAGATCTTGAGATAATTCATATCTGTAACAACAACAACAAAAAAAAATTTTTTTTTTTTTTAAAAGGAATTTGTCGTCACGTAAAAACAAATGAAAAACGGTTTTTCCTCAAAACGACGATGAATAATAATAATAATAATAATAACGAAAACATTTTATTTACATCCACGCGAACAAAAAAACAAGAAATATTTTCGATTTTGTGTAGGCGTCCAAAGTTTTTTTCTTTCCTTTTTCTTCTTTTCTTCAAAGAGTGAAAGAAAGAGAGAGAGAAAGAGAAAATGAATTAACCGAATTTTTTTTAAAAATTTTTATCGTTTTCTTGAGAGTTTAAAGTACGAGATTTTCTCACAAAATTTAATAAAAAACCGACCGCAAATGCCCGATTGTGTCTTTTTTTTTTTTTTTTTTTAATAAACAAACAAACAAACGTTATCGACCGTTATTGTTCGTTTGTCTATACGCGGATGATAAAATTACTTTTTCTCTCTTTAAATTTTTAGCACGCAAAAAAAAAAAGGAAAACGAATCCAAAAAAAAATTTTCCGATAATGTTATGAGTAATAATGGCGGACTTAAAATGATGACATTACATAATTCATTAAATCTTTGCCAAAGCGTCAAACAAAAATCTGTAATTTTTTTTTTTTTAAACCGGAAGTCAAGCTTTTTTTCTTTTCTTTTCTTTTTAACCACAACACGCACACGCACCCCGCACCCGCACACATTCGCACATTTCCTTGAGCTGACATTAAAAAAAAAATCAAAATCATTGAGACGTTTTTTTTTTTTTTTCTCCCTCAAATTCAAGCAAACACGCGTGACGTCATTTTCATTTCAAAAAAAAAAAACAAAATGGAGATTTTCATTCAAAAACTAATTTCCAATCATTGAGGAAAAACGAATTTTTACATTATTGGAAAACGTGTCGAATCCAAATAATAAATTTTCCGTATTAAAAATCAATCTATTATTATTATTATCATTATTCGTAATTCTTACTCTTATTATTCTCTTCGACGTCACGTCACGAGTATTCTTTTCAAACTTATTAATAATAATAATAATAATAATGAAAACAAATTATTCTCATCGCGAAGAAATGCCGCGACGAAAACGACGACAAAATTTTATGTTTTATAAAATGGGTGGAGGGGGAAGCCCGGGGGGAAAGAAAAGCAGACGAAGAAAATTTTAATCGAAACGTCGCGACGAAAACAAATTTGAAACTTCTTCTTCTCCTCCTCCTCTATAGTTTTTCGAAAACACCGACCGGAAACAAAACGAAAAGAAAATTTTTGCCGTTGCCTGCAATGCAAAAGCAGCCTTCGTGCAAACAAACAAACAAACAAACGAAAAAAATTTTAAACAATCACCATCGTCACCACCACCACCACCACCGCCGCCATCACGCGTCACGGTTCGAAACGAGGAAAATGACGAAATTCTTGGGAAAAAAAAAGGAAAAACTTCTTTAAACGATTCGACTGATTTTCAAAAACAAAAAAAAATAAAAAATAAAACCGGAAGTTTTAAATTGCCCAACTGCTAATGTACCTCAAATTAGTATCATTATTATTTATAAATTCATCGTCATAACCGTCGTCGCAGTCGTCGCCTTCATTAAATTTTCCACGTTTCCTTTTCATTAGACTTTTATCCGGAGGCACGATTGGAAAAAGGGAAGGAAAACTGCGATTTAAAAAAAGGGAAAAAAAAATTTGAAAGGATGAAAGAAAAAAAACGTTTAATTTTTAACAAAACGAACGTCCTTGCGAACCCAACGCTTCCAAAAAAAAAAAACGCACGCACGCACGAACGCACTCACGCACACAAACTCATTAAATTTAATTAATATTATTATTATTATTATTTTTATTTATAAAGAGTAGGCCGCGAACCGTAGTTTTTTATTTTTTTTCTCCTACTCAAAATACCTGGAAATAATATATATATATATATTTCGGAAATTATTATTATTATTATTATTATTATTTTGTGGGTGTTTTTTTTTTCGTTTAAAAAGGCCAGCTACGGTCGGTCACGTGTAATTAATACCAAATGTTCGGTAGGTAGAAAAAAATTTTTTTTTATTTTATTTTGCCATTAATAAAATGAGTATGTTTTTTTTTTTTGCCAACCCACGTGACGCTCGTTCACGTCATCGTCATTTTTAAAACTATACCCATGTGTAATTACCAGAAAATTTTTTCCATCGAAAATAATAATAATAATAATAATAAGTCAATCGTAAAATTCAAACCTTAAATTTCCCCCCTCGTAAAAAAAAAAAAAAACAAAAATCATTTGCATTCAGGTATCGAAGTAACCTTCGCAAGTCCAAAACAAAAAAAAAAAAAAAATTCGAAAAAGTAATATGGCGTTGACGATGTGATGATGATTGTCGATAAGTTGATTAATTTAATCATCGTGTTTCACATTTGACACGCACGTGCGTAATCGTTTGGAATAATCAAAGGAAATGATTTCGATTTTGTTTCATCCCTATCGATTCCGGATGCTGCTGCTGCTGCAACTAATACGTGTGCTTTCGAAAATCACGTGTGGCAACCCCTTCTCCCACTTTCTCCCTCCCCACCCCCAAAAAAAAAAAACGCTCATGGGTACGAAAACATTAGAAGCGAAAAATAATAAGGAGCGAAAGGTGCAGAGAGAGCACGTTTTCCATCTATAAATTTCGTCTTGTTGCTACGATACGAAATCATTTCGCGCGTTCGGTATAGAGAAACCATTAGAAAAATAATAATAAAAACGAGTTTTCTCTTTCGGAATTCATTCAAAAAAAAACTTTCTCATCACGTGAGAAAAAAACATTTCATCTCATTTTATACTTTCGTAATTTGTTAATCGATCACTACCTTTACCGTTCGAAGGATGAAACCGAACGTTTCTTCTGCTACACAAACGTAAAAAAAAAAATCTATTCGATCAATTACAACCGTCGTTAAAAACAACCTTCGAGAGTACAAATTTCATCATCATCATCATCATTATTATTATTATTATTATTTTTTATACACTTGTAGGATGAATGGAAAGAAAAAAAAACGGAGGAGGAAAAAAATTATTATTAATAAAATATAAAATAAATGAAAAGAGAGAGAGAGAGAGATTCATTCGCGTTTAATGTTTTTTTTTACGCGAATACGAACGAGTAAATAATTATTAATTATATAGGTCAAAGGGCAAAAAAATAACAAAACAAATTATTCCTTTCCACCTTGAGTGTTCAATCATATTCAATCACACACACACACACAGAATTAAATTAAAAAAATTTTTTTTGACGATATTTCCTTCAGGTATTTTGATTACGTCACTACCAACCGAAAAAAAAAAAAAAAATTTTTTTTCAACGAACAAAAAAACAAATTTAATTAAATTCTAGTAAATTCTTCTGCTTCTTTTTTCTCCTTTTAAATTAAACAATAAAATGCAGATGTTTTTCAACAATTAAAACCAAAAAAAAATTTTTTTTTTTTTTTCCAACGACTACTTTATCTTTATTATTATTATTATTAATACAAAGTCATTTCCTTTGACATTTAAATTTTTTTTGTTTTCGGGTATTTTACCGGATAGCCTTGAACCTGAAATCACCGGAAATCACGATACGAAATATTCTCTCTCTCTCTCTCTCTTTTTCTCATTCCCTCCTTTTTTTGATTTTCTTTGATGTTTTCGTGCAAATTTAACAAATAATAATAATGATGATGATAATAATAATTACAAACAAAAGCCTTAAAAACTTTCCGACCGAAAGTTTTTAAAAAGGGCTTTTGAACTAATTAAAACAAAAGAAAAAACGAAAACAACAGGAAAGAACGAACAAAACGAAAAAAAAAAAAAATGTAATAATTTCATTATTTTTCCCAGGATCACAAAATTTTACGCACACAAACAAACAAACAAACAAACAAACGATCCTTCAACTTTCAATCTCCGTGGAAAACTTCAACGAGAATCAACCGGTGTAAAAAAAAAAAAAATTTAAAGACCTGAATGAAATTTCACACTAACGTAACAATACGTAAAAACTTTTTCGTGGTGCCAACAATTGAAAAAAAAAAACCCGCACAACAACCGTGAAAATCTCGTCGTCAACTAAATCCGACGATATCGGGGAATGGATCCCTATCAAAATTTAAACAATTAATAAAAATAAAAATGACAAATTAGAAATCTAAAACAACAAAAAATTCATCATCATCATCATCATCATCATAGGCGAACGTAAAACGTAGGAAAATTTTTAAATCGTGAACCGCATTCGTGTAATTAAATGAAACAATAATAATAATAATAATAATGATAATGATAATGACAAGACTGTAAAAAAAAATAAAAATTATATGTACGAGAGATTTTTTTTATAATTATGATATGTGAACACCAAATGAGCCGCGGACTAAGGAGTGTAGGTCAGGTCAATAACAGCAGAAAATGGTCATGATATCCTTTTTATACTCTTTTCCTTCCAAAAAGAAATTAATGGCGGAATTACGTCTGCGTGTGTGTGATCACTTGAGTGGGGCATATCATGTTACGTAACGACCTTTTTGCCCCCGTCCCCCATGTCCCCCCGTTCCCCCTTTAAAAACGATTTGCCGAAATTAATTTTTTTTTTTTTTTCAACATCATCTTCCTTTCCCGTTTGTTTGATTTCCATTAGGTTAACAATTACAAATAAAAAAATTATTATTATTATTATTATTATTATTTGGAAAATAAATGACACGGTTTCGTTTTGTCTTACGCCATTTTTATTTTGAAAAACAAACGAACAAAAAAAGAAAAAAAAAATTCGATTCTCAGGGTTGTTTACTTTTTTCGTTTGACCACATTACGCATCGTCATGCGAAAAACGTACACCGGTGACACCCGATCACGCACACAAACATTTGAATAAAAAATAAGCAAGAAAAACAAAATTGTGAGAAGAGAGAGATAGAGAGAGAAACCTTTCCCGTGAGACCAAGAAAAAGAGGAAAAAAAATAAAAATAAAAACGCAGGTACGAAGAAAGAAAAAAGAAAAGAAAAAAAGGTTTCTCACGATCATTCGGTAAAATAATATCGACATCGGGTTCGTACCACTGTGCAAAGGGGAAAAAGAAAAGGAAATAAAAGGATACAGAAAGAGAGAGAGCTAAAGAGAGAGAAAGAGTGAGGGAGAATGAACTTTAATATAATAAAAAGGATTCAAATTTTAAATTGTTTGTCATCAAACAATTATTTCCGATAAAGATTTTTTCACATCAAGCCAAACTTTTTTTTTCTTCTTTTGGTGAAAGGCACAAACGAATAGACAAACGAACTAACAAACAAACAAACAAACAATCCTTTTGTAGAAAAAATAGTCTACAAAAAGAAAGAAAGAAGAATCAAAGGCTAAAACTTTTAAATCAATTAATTGCAACAAAAAAAAAAATAAATAAACAAATTATCAATCACACTTGATAAGTCAAGAAGCAATCAATTGTCAGAAAGAAGAAAAAAGAAAAGAAAAGAAATAATAATGATAATAACAATAATAATAGTGATAATGATGATGATGATGAACAAAAAGAAAAGACGAATGAAAACAATCGTTATTATCATCGTCAATTCTTATTTCATCATTTACTTCTCTTTTGTTTTCTGTTATAACAAAAAAAAGCGAACGTCCGTCGAACCGTTCATAGTACAAAATTTATAAATAAATAAAATAAAAATAAATTATTTTAATAAACC